CCCCACAGCATTAAGGTGTACTCAAGGATTATAAGGCAGGGAGTTTTAGATTTTTGCATATAAAATGTCACTGACATGATTTAGCAGAATATAACCTTAATTGCTGGAATTCTTGTAAGACAGCAATTAATTTGAGTATAAATATCCCATAGTTTGCATTAAACAAAATTTTTAGTATCTGTAATTAACTTAGTACATTATAGTACAGGTTGTGATAATTCAAGCAGTTGCTCAGCAGTTGTGGTTGCAGTTGCAAAGCTTCGTGACATCACTAGTGTATAATACGTCTCCATATGCCCTGGTTTATTCATTGATCAGTTGTCTTAGCACAAAAGTAGTCAAGTAAAGCCATCATGTATCAATTACAGTGGTTCCTCGGTTAACGAACTCAATTCGTTCCAGAAGGACGTTCGTTAACCGAAACCATTGTTTCAATGGGATATTGGGTAATTGGTTCCAGCTCACAGAAAAGTATAGTACTGTATACGAAGTAAAGCCAAAAATGCATAAAGTCAGAAACACTCCTAAAATTCCCTTAAAAAAATATATATATATACACCTAGACCCCGACTTACGACTACGTGGACTTACGACCGTCGGGACTTACGACCGCCTCAGATATAGATAAAAAAAAAAAAAATTTTTTTTAAATAACACGCATTTTCTATACCGAAACGTTTCCAGTTAATGTAGTCTCCATGTATAATTAGAAAATTATGGGGGCCCCATGTGCATTCAGCTGACTACATTAAAGGTTAAGTGGTCAGTCACACTGTATCCATTCCTTATTATTTATTACTTTCACTGTACTGTATCCATTCATCATTATTCATTACTTTTACTGTACTGTATTTCATTGTAGATTTTTTATTAAAAGAAAATTTTTTTTTTTTATCTATGTCGGACTTACGACCATGTCGGACTTACGACCTGGATTTGGGTCCCTAACCCCGTCGTAAGTCGGGGTCTAGGTGTATATATATATACTGTATATACAGTATATATATATATATATACTAGAACTCTTAAATCACTACTGTAATGTGATACAGGTGATTAATTTTATCTCTTGTGCAAAATATATGACGTTTATATTCAAATTATTTGCTGTCTTGCAAGGATTCCAGCAATGCAAATTATATTCTCCTAACTTTAGTCTGTGATATTATATAAGATAAAAACTTAAAGACTACTGAAAACTCCCAAACCTTTGTTAGGAAGGTGGGGGGTAGGGAGGGAGGGAGGCAGCCAGCCAGCGGAGGAGCCAGCATGGGAAGAAGGGAGAGCAGGAGGTGAGGTGTACTTTAACAGTTAGGTCCAAGATCTGGGGAAGTATTTAATTTATTTATTTTTGTCATTTAGTTGAGTTTTTGTTTTTTGTTCATAAAATTGTATAGAAATGACCGGGGAGAATATAATTTGCATTGCTGGAATTATTATAAGATAGTGATTAATTTGAATATAAACAAGCTATAATTTGCATTAGACATACAAATTTTAGATCTAATTTAAGAATTTTATAACAGAGAGCAAAAATTTTATCTTTTGTGCAAAATTTATGACGTTTATATTCAAATGATTCGCTGTTTTGCAAGGATGCCAGCAATGCAAATTATATTCTCCTAACTTTAGTCTGAGATATATAAGTTAAAAACTTAAGGACTACTGAAAACCCCCAAACCTTTGTTGGGAAGGTGGGGGGTAGGGAGGGAGGGAGGGGTGACAGTGACATGTTTGACAGTTGGCGCCGCCGAGGTGTGAAGTATTTAATTGTTTATTTATGCCCTTTAAATTGAGTTTTTGTTTTTTGGCTTATAAAATTTAATAGAAGTGACTGGGGAGAATATAATTTACATTGCTGGAATTTTTATTAATTTGAATGTAAACATGCCACAGTTTGCACTAGACAAAAATTTTAGTAATCATTTTGTACATTATTCTGATTACATTTACAGTTCAGCTTTGCCCTTAGGAAAGTGTGTGCATGTAAATGAGTTTCAATAAATGAGTAAAGTTACATATATCGAGCCAAAAATAATAGTCGAAAAACTTTATGTAGACAGAGCTTGGATGGCTAAATTTTAGAAGGACCAACAATTTTAATACTGTATAAAAAAATGCACAAATATTAAAGAGCACAATTTTCTTGATATTTACTCCATTGGAAACGAATGCAAACATAGAAGAGATTACTGAATTGGCTGAGTACCTCCTCAGCTTATCAGCTGATGTTCAAAACAAAACATGATTTTTGTAAGGATTTCGTTAATCAAATTATTTTCGTTAACCGAATTGAAGTTTCTTATGGAAGGTAATTCGTTAACCGAAATTTCGTTAACCGAGTGACCACTGTAATTTTGAAATAGAAATTATAAAGTAAAATGGTATAAAACAATGGTTTAGTAGTGCTGCTAATGTTTGTGCTGTGTAAGTGTCTTGGCATGTCACCTCACCACCTGACTCCTGAACATTCATCAACTTCTTCAAATCCTACCTTGTGCTTGGCAAGTTCAACAATATTGCTTTGAATGTTTGGCACACACACACACACACACACACTGATTTCTTGAGTGGACGTCGCCAGGCAGTGAGGTATCAGGGCTTGGTCTCCACATTCCAACACCTCACCTGCGGTGTTCCCCAGGGGACCAAGATGGGACCACTGTGCTTCCTCATCCTGATCAATGACGCTCTATCGGACACTCCTCACAGGTGGAAGTACGTGGATGACTGCACTGTGGGGGTTTCAGTGGACAACACCGCACCAGACTACTCATCGCTACAAGGCACCCTGGACAGGCTACAGGCATGGACCACGGAGAACAAGGTCACCATCAACCACACCAAAACCGTAGTCATGCACATCAATACTGCCACCACTCCAGTGCAAGCCCCAGCAGTCACAGTGGGTGCCCATCCTCTCCAGCTGGTGCAGTCTGCCAAACTCCTGGGTGTAACCATAGACAACAAACTTGACTGGAAGGCCCATGTAAATAACACAGTCAAGGCAGCCTCGTACCGTCTCTACATGCTACGACGACTTAGGTCACTTGGGACACCCACGCCAGAGCTGAGGACCATCTACAACGCCTTTATTCTCCCCAAACTAACGTATGCGTCACCAGCCTGGTCGTCTTCTCTCAACTCCACCCAACAACGTCAGCTAGAGAAGGTACAGAAAAGGGCCTGCAGAATCATGCTCGGCGCAGAATACTCCGGCTACACCAACGCTCTCTCCACCCTGGAAATGCCATCCCTCAGTGACCTCCACCACCAAGCACTGGAAAGGTTTGGCAGTGGACTTCTGCACCACCCTCGTCATCGCCACCTCCTGCCACCTGCAGCCCCCCACCCAACTCGCTCAGTCTGCCACTACAACAAAATTCAGCCCATAAGAGCCCGCACCGATAGATATAAGAACAGCACCATCCCATCTATTGTTAAAATAATAAACAACTCCTGATTTATGTACTGTACAGCCTTGTAAATGTATTCAATGCACATTATGTCTCAATCAAATGTAAGTCTGTATATTTTCAGCCACCGGCTGCAACTCTATTAATAAACCGTTTATTATTATTATTATTATTATTATTATTATTATTATTATTATTATTATTATTATTATTATTATTATTATTACACACACACGAGAAAGTGGGGCGAATTGAAACAACAAGCATCCAGTGAGGGAGACGAATTAAAAAATCATCTGTTGAGGAGCTTATTGCTTGGCACACTGGTATATGTTACACTTCTTTCCACTCCATATCTATATTTTGAATATTATGTAATGTAATCTTGAAGGGATACAAATTTGCTCATTTGTGCTACTTATACTTTTTCCTTTTTTTCTTTTTTTACGGGGATTTGCCCACCCGGGCACAGGTCACTAACCCACATCAGGGCCTGGAGGGCGAAAATGTAATACGTAATAATAATAATAGGGCGCTGGTGGTAGAGAGGTACAGCTCTTGCCTCGCAAGCAAGATGTCACGGGTTCGATTCCCGGACCGGCGGAAGTTGTTTGGACACTCTTCCTAGTCCCCTTGGTCCCTGTTCACCTAGCAGCAAAGTAGGTACCTGCTGTAAATCGAAAGTTGTGAATTCGTAGTCAGGGACAAGTTATTGGAGCTTCCAATAACTTGCTTAGACATAAACCATTGACTCTTCAGGCTTCTACTCCCTTGATCCTTCAGGCTTCTACGCCCTTAACTCATGAGACATAGGGTATAGATGAACTTAGCATGCTTCCCTGTTGGGCGCTGTAAATACAGAATCACCTTACACAAGGAAATAGCTCGAGAACTGAGGATGCGGGAGGGTGGCAGACAGCCTTATAGCTGCCCAGAGAGGTGTCTGGCGGGAAACATTTGGCGCGAAACTTAAAATATTGTGTCCATATGACGCGCCAGATTTGATTTGCATAAAATAGGAAAGATTTGCTTTAAATTGATACATTGTCCTTAATTGTGGGTGTCGCTTTAAATCAATAATTTTAAATAGATTTGCGTTAAATTGACGTTCTACTGTAAATGAAAGTAAAAACTAAGACATCAGGTAAATAAAATACTGTAAATTTCAAGTTTAACCTCGTTTGTATCGGCAGGTGTTCATAAGTCGGGTGATCTTAAGTCCGAAACCTCCTGTATATGGGTACAGTACTGTATTTGCAGAAACTAATAATATAACCAACTGACACAATTACTATACTGTTCTGTAGTTATTACATATTTTCCTTGGAAAGGTTGTCAAGATAGTACGTATCCACTCTATGTAATTATACATTTTACGAAAGATTCTTGGTTCTAAACTTTTCAGGTCACATATACAGTACTTTATTGTACTTATTTTACCTCATTAATCATGTTGTTTAAGTGATTTAAATGATGATGATGATGATACAGTGGTGTATAATTTGTTAGTCATCCTATTTTCGAGTCTAAATTTAATGTATACTTTACACTTGTATATTATTTGTTGTTACTGATATCTTCTAGTGGTTGGACCGTCACGAAATCAAACGTCGACACCCGCACCTTTACACTGCTGACCTGGAAGGTGGTGTTTGGGTACCAGGTGATGCAGTGGCTGACCCTTTTGCTGTGTGTGTCACTCTGGCTTCACTTGCACAGAGACAAGGTTGGTGTTTTTAGCTAGATTACATATTTATACAGTACCATAATTTATTTTAATTTTGGTAAACTTTGAAATAATGATAACTGTAATGCGTATCAGTTTAGAATGTTTAAGTGCTTAAGGTTTTAACATTAAAGAATATATATATATATATACAGGTTGTACCTCTCTAGTCCAGCATTCTGTGGTCCGGAAACTCCCGTGGTCCGGAACGATTTTAGTTTGTCCAATAGGTAGATAGGCAGCTTCTTTTTTTTTCTTATTTTTTTACTTATCTGAATTATTATTATTATTACAGGAGTATTAAATTTTTGCCCCTCAGGCCCCAATGTGGGTCAGTGACCTATGCCCGGGTGGGCTAATCCCCTTAAAAAAAAAAACAAAGCCGCGGGAAATTAAGGTTTGTTTACATCCGGCAGGTCAGCTGCTCTCTCTTTCTCTCTCTCTGCTTGTCTATACAGAGTACAACATTTAACCCCTCATTATATATGAGCAGTAAATAAGTGTTGCTTTCATATTCTTATGTAGAGTAATGACGATATGCTTTCACATCTGCGTACTTACATACGCGCAGTCTCACTTTTTTTTTACCACTAAAGGTTAGCTACTTATATTGTTCCATTTATTAACATTAAATAACATTACAGGTACTTCAAACAACCATATTAATTTGTTTACATTAATTTTACTACAGCTAAAATCAGGGTCTTATTTTCTTCAGTTTTATATGTAGAACCAATCAGTCACTGGTTTTGTAAGCTTTAACAAAAACAATGCAGGCAACCGTCTCGTCTCCTCTAATATTCCACGTATTATTAATAAATTGTATAATTAATTTTGCACACAAACATTAATTCAATAAAAACAAATTCAGAAACATTAATTAAAATATATATGAACAGTAAATAAGTGTTGTTTTCATATTCTTATGTAAAGTAATAACGATATCTTTTCACATGTGCGCTTGCGCACTTACATACGCGATCTCTCTTTTTTCTTTACCATTATCGTTAGCTACTTCTATTGTTCCATTTATTAACATTAAATAACATTACTTAAAACAACCATATTAATTTTACTACAGCTGCAACCAAGGTCTTATTTGCTTCAGTTTTATATGTAGAACCAGTCAGTCACTGGTTTTGTAATCAACAAAAACAATACTGTCTCATTTCCTCGTGTTTTAATATTCTACGTATTATTAATGAATTGTATTGCTCATTTTGCACACATAAACATTAATTCAATAAAAAAGACATTCAGTAATAAACAATAATGAATCTTTTGTACATAATAGAAATGACGCTGTTTACACGATTATGCACGCCGTTTGCACATTGGCGGGCTGTTCAAACCCGTCGAAATTCAAGTATCTGCCGTCAAAATTTTTATTTATTTATTTTTTTGTGTTCCAATAAAATACGTTAAGAATTAAAAACTCCCGAAATTTGAGAAGCTACTATACGACAATTAACCCTTCAATATGTCTTCAAAGAGACCATGATGCAGAGAAAGTGGTGCTAGTGCTTCCAAGCATAAGCACAAGTACCTATCTATCCAGGAAAAGGGTGAATTTCCATGGTCCGGCAATTTCCATGGTCCGGCACCGGTCAGGTCCTAAGGTTGCCGGACTAGAGAGGTACAACCTGTATATATATATATATATATATATATATATATATATATATATATATATATATATATATATATATATATATATATATATATATATATATATATATATATATATATATATATATATATATATATATATATATATATATATATACACATATACATATACATATACATATATAATTTTTTTTTTTCATGTAAAATCTGACGTGGATAAAATGAAATCTTGATAAATCACTGCGGAAAATGAAACAGCGGGTATAGCTTTAAGTCTTTATTCAAGGCATCTTTAGAATATACGGTATTGGCGAACAAAACGCTTAAGATTATTTATTTTCGATGTGTTGAATATACAATAATATATATATATATATATATATATGTATATGTATATATATATATATATATATATATATATATATATATATATATATATATATATATATATATATATATATATATATATATATATATATATATATATATATATATATATATATATATATATATATATATATATATATATATACTGTATATATATATATATATATATATATATATATATATATATATATATATATATATATATATATATATATATACAATATTACCCGCCCTAGCAGCCCGGTTTTCACCTTTCGTTTTTATCATGTCACCTTGGTGCCTGCTTAAGTGAACTTTCTTAACTTGCAGTTTTTTCCTGTCTGGCGGTGAGTGTCGACCGAGCGCTATTTTAGATTGCCCCACCGCCACCCTGCCTGACTGCCTGTTTTAGCTCATAAAATTGTACAAATTGCCGGCCAAGCAATTTACATTGCTGATTATATAATTTGGTCGTTTGAATATAAACATCCATATATTTTGCTTTGAACATACAAAGTACACTAGATAAGAGGTACTATACAGGCAACTATGTTATCTTTTGGTAAAATATATGACATTTATATTCAAAATATTCCTGATCTTACAAGAATCCCTTGTCAATCAATTATATTATCTAACTTTGGTTGAGGTATTATTTATTACAAAAAGTTAAGTATTCTGGTTTTCCACATCTCCTTGGGGCAGTTGGTAGGGGGGTGGGGGAGGGAGGGACGACGACCATCTGTTACCCCGTGACAGATATTTTTTTTATTAACTGAAGATATTTAACAGCTCGCAAAATTCATACAAAGTGCCGGTCGAGAATATAATTTCCATTGCTGAAATTCTTATAATTTGGTGATCATTTTGAATATAAACATCATATATTTTGCGTAGACATACAAATTTTAGATAAAAAATTTTCTGAGTAACTATATTATCTTTTGTGCAAAAATATATGACATTTTATATTTAAAATATTCCTAGTCTTACAAGAGAATCCCATAGCTAATTGATATCCTAACTTTAGTTTGAGTGTGTTATTAAAATTTAGTGGTTTTCCCCCAAAAATTTCTCAGAGAGGAAGGCGGCAGTGTAGTGTGAGGAGGGAGGGTGAGTCCATTATTTGAATGGACATTAACTTGGCGACTGTATTTAAAAAAAAATTCTTCACACGGTAACAGATGGTCGGTCGCCGGTCCCTCCCTCCCTCCCCCCCACCAACGTCCCTACTAGATAAATGTGTGGGAATACCAGACTGTTTACCTTTTTAGTAATAAATAATAAATCAGACTAAAGTTAGGATAATATAATTGACATTGCTGGATTCCTTGTAAGACCAGGAATATTTTGAATATAAATATCATATATTTTGCACAAAAGATAACATATTTACTCAAGAGTAAACATTATATCTAAAATTTGTATGTCTAATGCAAAATCTATGATGTTTATACAGTATTACCCTGCTTAACGCGCTTTCACTTAACGCGTTTTCGCATATACGCGGTGCCTTGCCAAAGCTGAACTTTCACTTAACGCGGCATTTTTCATCATATACGCGGTGAGTGTCCGGCTCGAGAGCTATTTTTAGATTCGCACCACCCCCCCACCCGCCACCCTGCCTGACTGCCTGTTTTAGCTCATAAAATTCATACAAATTACCCAGCCAGAATATAATTTACATTGCTGGAATTCTTATAATTTGGTGATCATTTTGAATATAAACAACATATATTTTGCATTAAACATACAATTTTTAGATAAAAATTGTTCTCTAGGTAATTATGTTATCTTTTGTCCAAAATATATGACATTTATATTCAAAATATTCCTGGTCTTACAAGGAATCCAGCAATGTCAATTATACTATCCTAACTTTAGTTTGAGGTATTATTTATTAAAATTTAGTGGTTATCCCACACATCTCCTTGGGACGGTTGGTGGGGGTGGGGGGGAGGGAGGGACCGACCGACCGACCATCTGTTACCCAGTGAAGAATTATTTTTTTTTTTATTAACTGAAGATATTTGTTTTAGCTCATAAAATTCATACAAATTACCCGGTCAGAATATAATTTACATTGCTGGAATTCTTATAATTTGGTGATCATTTTGAATATAAACAACATATATTTTGCATTAAACATACAATTTTTAGATAAAAATTGTTCTCGAGGTAATTATGTTATCTTTTGTCCAAAATATATGACATTTATATTCAAAATATTCCTGGTCTTACAAGGAATCCAGCAATGTCAATTATATTATCCTAACTTTAATCTGAGGTATTATTTAATACTAAATGTTAAAAACTCTTGAATGGAGGATTGGTGGGGGGGTGGGGGGAGGGTTGGGACTGACCACGCGGTTGGAAGAGGGGGGGAAGGCAAGGTGGGGTACTTTGATTGACAGATAGTGTCGAAGAATATTTTTTTTTTTTTATTAACTGAAGATATTTGTTTTAGCTCATAAAATTCATACAAATTATCCGGCCAGAATATAATTTACATTGCTGGAATTCTTACAATTTGCTGATCATTTTGAATATAAACATCATAGATTTTGCATTAGACATACAAATTTTAGATGTAAAGTTTATTCTGAGTAAATATGTTATCTTTTGTGAAAAATATATGACATTTATATTCAAAATATTCCTGGTCTTACAAGGAATCCAGCAATGTCAATTATATTATCCTAACTTTAGTTTGAGGAATTATTTATTACTATACCTGGTTTTCCCCCAAAAATTTCTCAGAGGGAAGAGCCAGTGAGTGTAGTGTGAGAAGAGGGGGAGGGAGTTGAGTCCATTATTTGAATGGACATTAACTTGGCGACTGTATTTCTCTATTTCTCTTAAGTATTAATTGTGTGCATGTACCATCATAAAATTAAGATGTTATTTTTACTACAACATAGTTATTTGTCGTCAAAAAGTGGAGTTTGGGGGTCGGGCTGGGTTCTATTGGAATTAATCCCATATGTTCTGTTATTCACTTAACG